CACCTTTAAATCGCCGTATAGTATGACCCGATGCGATGTTTACATCGTGAGATATGGCTCACTAAAGACATCTAGCGGAAAACGCTCAGAACTTTTTACTTCACCTAATATGAGAATTCCTCAACAAAACTTTTAATTGTTTCTCCAAATTTGAGAAATATCATTAAATGACGTTAAAAATTACACTGTAATTATCGTTACTTTACATTTTTACTTTGAAAAAAATTCATACAGTTTAATTTTGCCACTTCTCTCGCGATTCGTTGTTTTTATTATAACTATGACATGATTAGAGGTCTATTCTTTTCAGCTGCACTATTGCACTGGTGCAATAAGTTAGAGTGAGACAAATATATTTTATTTCTCTTTAACTTATTGCACCAGTGTATCAGTGCAGTTGAAAAGAACGGACCATAGAATAGAGCCGGTTTAAATTTTCGCACTGTATTCGTCGCTCAATGACCAAGGGTGCGGTCCAACAACCGCTACAAATGCTGCGCATCGTTTCTCCCTCTTGTTCTATTCCTCGGATTTGAATGAAGAAACAGAAAGAAGTAAAAACTCTACAAAGCATTTGCAACGCCTGCCCCAAATGGACCGTACCCCGGTCGGTTAATTGTAATCGGTTAATCAAATGTGTCGCGTTGCTTACACTTTTGATACTTTTATGGCTTCTGCACACAGGATGCGGAAATGTTTGCCGCGCGGCGGAAGTCCGCGCGACAGCCAATCAATATGTTGTTTTTCCGTAAGAGCTAGAAGATTATTACGGAAAGCAGCATATTGATTGGCTATCGCGCGAACTTCCGCCGCGCAGCAAACATTACCGCGTCCTGTGTGCAGGAGCCATTACACCTAAAGGCTATCGCACACAAATTGACATAATTGCATATGCATAGCATAAGACCGTATGTACTAATGAGCATCGAGTATTAAGTCGCCATATTGGTGTTCGATGCTTAATATTCGATGCTCATTGGTCCATACGATCTTATGCTATGCATTGCAGTTATGTCAATTTGTGTGCGATAGCCCTAACATCCGTTATACACCGATCTCTCTTTAGAAAGAAGAACTGTCATTGGATATCGATCGTCTCGTCTGATGTGCAACAGACATTAGGTGTAAAAGTACCAGGATTGCATTCCAAAACGTCCTTTTCGAGGAAAATTTTACTCTTAAGTCTATAGTGTATGTAACATGAACTATAAATTTAAAAGTAAAATTTTCCTCGGAAAAGATGTTTTGGAATGTAACCCAGAAGTACAAGCAACGCGACAAACCTAAAATCTATTATTGGACAATCAAAGCGCTACACCGGACGTAACTTGAACTATTTCGTCACTGTGTTACGTCACGCTTGCGGCGCGTAGCTAACAGATGTTTCAAAAAGCATGTCCTCTCCGAAAGAACGCCTGGGTGGGTACGTGTGCGAAATGTCAATACATGTATCATAAATTGACAGCTTCTGTGGGAAGGACGGGTCTCTTTTCACAAAATGTACTTATAAATCACAGAGGCATATTATCGTATTCTTATTACAAGATCGAGGAGCATCTCTTTGCTTTATTACCTGTGCGTTAGTGCTTAATTTGGAACATGTGCGATATCTGCCATTTTTCACGTGCGTATAGTGTCAAGGTTACTATCTCTATCTGATCATTTCGTTAATGAAGATTTTATGATAATGTTGATAACCGCTTTCGCAGGTCACTTCGAAAATTCTCGTTAGTACATTATCTTAGCCCGATTTTCGCAATTGAACGGTCTAGCAGTCCTCGACAATCGATTGACAGGCGATAAGCAGCTTTTAATAGACGGCTCTTTCCCATTTCTGCAGAAAATATCCTGTAATTATGAGTCACCACCTCGTAAGGAGGTGCGTTAGCACGAATTATCTCTTTCACGTGTTAACGCGCATTCAGCCTGTCATATTTATTCAGAAGTGTTATTACGCTCATGATATAGAGATAAACTTGAGTAATGGACCAGTCAGTATTCTGAAGCAGAAAATTATGAGAGGCGAGTTGATGAATGATATGCACCAGACAAAGGTGGCACAGATCTTGCAGGGAGTCTACCAGGAAGTGCATGATTATAAGCCACAACAATTGAACCTGTTGGAGAAATGGTTTGGTGGCAAGAAGAAGGAGGCGCCAAAAGGCTTGTACATTTATGGAGCAGTAGGTGGAGGTAAAACAATGTTGATGGACCTATTTTACGATTGTTGCCAGGTATCTCAGGTTGCTGCTTGAGTCAGTACTGTACATAGTGAATCAGATCGATTGACTTGATCTCTCGACATAACAATTTGTTTTCAAGTTCATTTGGAAAATTAGAGTTATATATATATAGATGGTTATAACCATCTGCAGGAACAACAAATGTTGCTAGAAAATATTCCAAAATTAAGATAGGTGGATAAATGATAGATTTGTTTATACACACATAATGAATAAACGATGAAATTGACTTAAAATTAACACACATTAGAATTATCAAAATAACAGATTTGCTTGTTATAAAAATATTTTCTATAAAAATTACTAAAAAAATAACAGGTTTATTTCTTATAGAAATATTATAATATTTTGTATCAAATTTATAACAGCTTGTTTTATATTTTTAAAGTTGAATTTAATTAAATGTTGAATAAGAATAAGTGAATATTTTCCTTCTTTGAATTAAATATATTTGTTAAAAAATTTGTCATTCTGATTTGACCATTCTGATGAAAATAAGTTCTTAATCATTGGTAGTTCTAGTGTTAAACAAAAGAAATTAACAGTAGCGTATCTTGAACAAATTGCGATTTGCCATGTATGGTACAAAACAAGGATAAGATTCTTTTGAGATAATATAATGCAGCTTTAAGTGGAGATTTCTCGTTTTAGATTAAAAATAAGAAGAGAGTCCACTTTCATTCTTTTATGCTGGATGTGCACAGCAGAGTGCACGAGGTGAAAAAGACCATTGTGCGAGATGTTACCAGCACCAAACTGCAGCCTTTTGACCCGATACCTCCGGTCGCGTCCAGCATTGCCGAGGAGGCCTGGCTACTCTGCTTCGATGAGTTTCAGGTTGACACTAATTGTCCGTCGTAAGGAAGAACAGAATGCATCTTGTCATAAAGAAAAACAGAATGCATTTATCGATTTTAAGAGATTCAACGTGAGCGGATGTTTCGCAGGTGACCGATATCGCGGATGCCATGATACTGAAGAGACTCTTCACGGAGCTCTTTGATAACGGTGTGATAGTTGTGGCGACCAGCAACAGATCGCCGGACAATCTGTATAAGAATGGATTGCAGAGGGGAAACTTCGTACCATTTATCCAAGTGCTAAAGAACCATTGCTCGGTCAGTAACTTGGATTCCGGAATAGATTACCGATTGAAGTCGGGGTCCGGAAACAAGAAGATATACTTTATGTACGTAAAAATTCACAAGCATCACACCATAATAAACAGCGCCGTGTTATCTTTTTTTGGGCCCTAGGTGTAACGTTTGTTACAAAGCAGTCAAAATTTCAAGAAAAAAATACTTTGGAAAATAATTGGGAAAAAAATACATAATAAGGAAAAATGTTTATTTATTTTTTTTTCGTTTTATTTAATGTCAATTAAAAATATAAAATGCATTGTCATAAACTCGAGTAATCTTTATGAAAAAAATAAGATCTTTTTTGTGGCTTTGCAGAATACAAGTGTGTAAAGTTCAATATTTTTCCTTTCTCCTTTTTCTTTTTTAAAAGAAAACAATTTTGTTGTAAATTATACATTGCCTTAAGAAATAGCTTACTTGTTTGCTTTACTTTGTTTTAATGTATTGCGTACGAAAAGCCATATTTCGCCGAGAGCCCCCGAATTTGCAGAGCTCCCAGTACCTAACGCGCCTACAAGGAAACGCGGCTCTGTAAATGAGTGCACCGCGATTAACCGAGTCTTATAAATGATTAAAGAAAAGGCAAGGATGCGGCGAACGATGTGGACAAGGTCTTCAAGTACTTGTGCTCTATGGAGAACGACGTCATACGACCGCGAACAATCTCTATAAGGGGACGCAACGTCACTTTTCGCAAAACTTGCGGCCAAGTGCTTGACTCCACGTTCGAGGAATTGTGTGACAGGGTGAGACAGCCGAAATATTTTTGTGTTATGCACGCAGATCGAAGTTGCATGTGGAAGTATATTAAAGCATATCTTTCTCGGCACAGCCGCTTGGGGCGAGCGATTATCTGGCGTTGAGTCAAGTGTTTCACACAGTCATCATAAGAGATGTGCCGCAACTGAATTTGCGTCTCAAATCTCAAGCCAGGCGGTTTATCACGTTCATCGACACGCTGTATGATAACAGGGTAAGGCGCGCCAGGCTTTCTCTATATGAATTACGTTCTTCGTTTCCAAATCGAATATTAACTCTCTGAGTTCATTATTTTGGAAATATAATATTTTAATGGAAAGATATTTTTGTAGGATCAACAAATATCGTGAAAAATTTCTCAAAACTATATTAAAATAAATATGTAAATAATGAAATTATTTTTATACATGATAAGTAATGGATAAATAATAAGAGTGACTTAAAATAATTATAAAAAGGAAATAAATTAACAGAATAAAATATCTTAATAGTATTATATGTGATTGCCGTGCACACAGTACAAAAAAAATTTCTGCTTAAATCAACAATCAGATAAGTGTAAATAGGGTATTTCAGAAGTTGATTTGAAAGATAATCTCAGTTGTAAAAAATAAAAAAATAATTAGAGAAACTTCAGTTGTCTTTATTACGTGAAATTATTATAATAAAGATTATTAACGATTAAATATTGCAATTATGTTTATGACGCAGAAGTAATTTAATTAAGATATTTTTACTTTTAAAGAAATATTACATATCAGTAAAGATACGGGACTCTAAAAGTCAACAGAAAAATAATGTGCGAATGAATGTTAAATACTTATAATAATACTTATAATAATACGTAAACTTTATGAACCATATAGGTGCGAGTTGTTATGTCAGCGGCTGTACCACACACGCAACTATTTTTGCCAGAAGGCGAGTCCGAGTACACTGATGAGAAAAGAATGCTGATGGACGATTTGAAGATCTCTCACGGCTCGGTAAGCAGGCGAGAGCCAGCGAATTTATGAAGTAGTGAAATTGCAATTGCGATAATTTTATTTGCATTATCTGTAGGAAGATCACAAGGCAAATATCTTTACCGGAGAAGAAGAACTGTTCGCGTTTGATCGTACAGTATCGCGTCTGGCCGAAATGCAGACTTCACAGTATTGGGAACAGTGGGAGCACCATAGATAATGACGTCCTTGACTAGCACAAGTAGATTTATACATAGCATTATAGATGAATTTCTTTCACACGTAACGCACAAGTATTGCTGATGTGATTTTTACGAGATGATCTCGTATACAAAGTTATCCAAATCACCACTCAGGTGTGCCTCGTTGACATTTCCATAGAGAGCATAAAATGTTTCAGACTTCGTCAGTATTTTGTTTTCTTCATAGATTATTTTGAAGAATGAAGTTATGTGACTTAATATTACATATTTATGAGATCAAAATTAACTAATAAATTAATTAATAAGCACCAATTTCTACCGTAAAAGTATGTATTTATGTATAATGTATATATATAAAGCTCTAATTACATGAAACTTTTCGCACTTTGCTTGATTGTAAATCGTTCACCTTTTAATTGCTCCGGCACCGGCAATTTCGATGACTACTGATCTTAAGCAGCTTCAGACATTTGACGAAGTTATCCTGTGTCAACGTTCAAAAACAAAAAAAATGCAATGAAGTTATGCAAGAAAGAAAAAGTACATAATATAATAAAGCATGTAATACTAAATAATTGTAAAAATACGTGTACAAAATATATTAATATATTTAGTACAATTAAATATTTATATAAATCTACAAAATATATTAATATATTCGGCCGATGATAATACATGATAATCGATTACATTAAAAAAATAAAGAAAATTTAACACATGATTAAAAAGTATAGATAGCACTAAGATTCTTCGTAATCATTTAAAAAGTTAAGCAAGGTCAATTTTCTTCTCATTAAGGACGATATTCATTGGCAAACTTAATACTTAAAAAATGGGCGAAAAAGACGCAACTAGTAGAAAATAAAATCTGTTTTCTAATTAATGTCAGGTGCCCATAAGGCTTAGATCTTTTATTTTATGTAGAAAGACTTGTAGATTATCTATTGATAAAAAAAAAAACTTTGAATCTTGCGCCTATCATTCTTTATCGGAGAATATGGCTGCATTTGTTTTGGACATTCCTTTTATGTAATAAACGATAAAGATAAAATGACGCTTATAGCGCGTGAGCGCCTGAACGAAGCCTATGTTACATAACCATACATGAGAAAGAACGAGATGAATTGATAAATACTATCTTATACTTTCTTTTTTACTTCGTGTAGGCACGTACGTGATGTATCCACGGTAAGAGATTTCATACGCGGACCAATAACAAACTGCACGTCACTCTACGCATGCGCAGAAGGCCTCCTGTCGCGGAGAAAATCTCGCGACTCGCAGCACTGGATGTGATAACATGTGATAAGCACACTGCCCAATAACTTCAGAGAATTATTTAAACTTATGTGCTGTTTAAGTTCAAACTTGTATTAAATATCTTCTTTAAACATGACGGTGCCATTTTCTCCAAGTTCGTAATTAATAAAATAACTGATATTACGCTTTGTTACGATACGAGAATCTTTAAATTCATATATAATTATATTTATTTTTGTATATTTTATCTTTTAGCATGGCTGGAAGTACATATTAATGAGCCAGCGATAAATAAGGACATCAGACAGATATGTTATAAAGCGACCACAATAACAGGGAACAACAAAATAGCCTGGTTACTGAAAGCGATAAGCTTCATTGATTTAACCACTTTAAATAGTGACGATACCAGTAATAACGTGGCGCAACTTTGTAAAAAGGTATATTGTATGAATGAGTTTTTCTACTTAACAAAAATCTGATAAGGGGCTTGTTAGAAATATATACAAATTTTATTGAAATACTATAATTTTATCAGAATTTATCATTTTTATTAGGAAATTTTAATTTATCACATTTCAGTTTATATAAAAAAGGTTTAATTTCTTTTCAGTTTTATATTATAACTCTCACTTTTAATAATTAAATTTATTTATCAGAATATACATGATTTTCTATAATATAATTTTACCAATTTTACCAATTTTTTTTATTAAAAATACTTTTATATAAACTTGTGTAATTCTATCATATTTTTCTATCATTCTATCATATTTTTTAAGCAAAGTAATTTGTTAAGTTGAATAACTGATTAATTCTCAATCGCAGGCTGTCACACCCATAGCCAATTTGCCATTTGAGTGGGATAAACCGCTTCATACAGCAGCTGTTTGTGTTTACCCATCCAGGATATTGGATGTAATAAATACTTTGTCTTCCATAGATAAACATAAGTCAATCCATGTGGCTAGTGGTAAGAAAGGAGAAAGATTATTTTTGGCATTGACAGTAGATATACTAATATCTACTGTGACTGTATTATTTTTATGTTAGTAGCTGCAGGTTTTCCCTCTGGACAATATCATTTGAAGTCCCGATTAGAAGAAGTGCGTTGTGCTGTGAAAGATGGAGCAGGAGAGATAGATGTTGTTATTGATCGCTCATTGGCTTTGAATAATAAGTGGGAACAACTGTATGAAGAATTGAAAGCTATTCGTGAAACTTGCAGTACTCCACTTAGTGACATCTGTTTAAAAGTTATACTCTCAACGGGAGAACTGTTCAACTTAAAACATGTGTACAAGGCATCCATGGTGGCTATGATGGCTGGTGCTGATTTCATTAAAACATCCACAGGCAAAGAAGTCATTAATGCGACTTTACCTGTTGGTATCGTTATGTGCAGAGCAATAAAAGATTTTCAAAGGCAGACTGGGAAAAAGGTGGGTACAACCTATTGTTCTCATTGTAATTATATCTTACAATGTACCTTTTATTCATAGGTTGGCATTAAGCCTGCTGGAGGTATCAAGACTGCACAGGATGCTCTAGAATGGATGGTTTTAGTTAAGGAGGAATTAGGGAATGAGTGGTTGTCCAGTAATTACTTCAGAATTGGTGCATCTAGTTTGCTTAATAACATTTCTACCGAGATTTTTAAGATTCACCAATCTAATGACGACCAAAAGAAAGATGCTAGTGAAAAAGTTGAAGACTGTTTGGAAGAATCATAAAAATATTTTATTATTTTTGCAAGAAATCAAATTTATATAGAATATTAATAAATATATTATACATTCATGCAATTTAAGTATATATACATGCCAATGTGTGATTTTATGTATATATATTTCTTTTATAATCTTAAAAAATTTACATTATTAAGGGCCGATTGTTCCAACCTTTTGGTAAGCTACCTGACAGTTAAATCATACGTCTGTCTTCGTTTTTTTCTTCAAATTGGACAGAGACAGACACATGATTTACCTGTAAGGTAACTTACCAAGAGGTTGGAACAATCGGCCAAATCACTAGCGATTGGCGATTGACAATTAAAGATTATATTTTAACGAATCAATAAGCTTCAGCCTTAGCTTGCTTTGTTCCAATTGGTCAAGTTCCAATCGTCAATCATATATCACCAATCGTTAGTGTGATTTGGTCTTTAGGCTGCGTTCCGAAATTCATTGCCAGTACTGAAATTCTACAGTATACGTGACATGAACTATAGATTTTCAGTACTGGCAGTGAATTTCGGAATCCAGCCTAATGGCTCCTGCACACAGGACGCGGTAATGCTTGCCGCGCGGCGGAAGTTCGCGCGACAGCCAATCAATATGCTGCTTTCCGTGATAACCTTCTAGCTCTTACGGAAAAACAACATATTGATTAGCTGTCGCACGGCAAGCATTACCGCGTTCTGTGTGCAGGAGCCATAATTCTAATCTTATAGTGTGTTCGACTGACTCTGAGTTAATCGCTCCGAGAGCGATTAATGATGTCATAAGTCTCTACTAGCCAATCATAAAGCTTATAAATACTTGTTCGACCATAAATGTAGACTGAATAACTCAGAGTGGGTTAACCCAGAGCCAGTCAAACATGCTATTATTAGGCCGGTTCTGCATTAGTTACAAATCGCAAAGTTGCAAGAAAATTGACCAATAAACTATATCCCGATATTTACTGCCACTACTGAAAATCTATAGTTCATGTTACGTATACTATAGATTTTTAGCATTGGCATGAGATCGGAACGCAGTCATAATAAAATTTAGAAATAACTAAAAAATAACTAAAATGTATAATTTCATGAACGAATTTAACAAAACTCTTCACTTTTCACGAGTTTATACAAAAGAAATAGATACTTGATCGATTTACAGACTAATGCTACGACTTTAAAATGTAATTGCGACCTCATTATGACGATTTCTAAAACGTATTGCAACGGCGATGTAGACGATCCCTAAAGCCAGCGGCACACAGTGCTCATTTTCGTCCTTGCTGGATGGAAATATTCTGGCCCATATTCTGAATCCTCTTTTATCTATAAAAGGACTTTAAAAGAGGTTTAGGAATCATCTAATTAACTGAGAAGCTATATTCAAGGCACTTTTATCGATAAAAGAGGGTTCAAAATATGAGCCTCTGTTTTGATTGGTGCATTTCTATCTTCAGAAATGCCAATCAGAACAGAGTATTTCCATCCAGCACGAAACAAGCATCGTGTGTCGTTGGCTTTATTTGAGGGACTCTATCTTTCGTTGCTGGGTCGCACTATCTGCGTGAATCCTTCTTAGTAATTCTTTTCCACGTGGTCATTGTATCTGCAAGGTTTGTGCTTTAAAAAATTTAGTTTTAACTGAACAATATAGCTCGAAGGTACATAAATAAATGTCAAATTTTACAACACAAAATATTTAGAACATTAAAGTATATAGATTATGAAATATTTTTCCTACACCCGTGCATGTTGGGATTATAATGCGTCTGTTAGACTTTCGTATCGTATGTCCACCATAATGCCGTATTTAACATTTTCATACTAAAAGATATTTTCGAACGCCTACAAAATCTCTAATTTAACACTTAGATAGTTGGGTGCATTCTTTATGTGGTATTTATGTGTTTTTTACAAATATATTTCTCCTAACCTCAAAAATCTCTTTAGATGTTCACGGCAAATGCGAAGATAATTAAAAGCGGCGGGGCCGAGCCCGACCAGTTCGAGTTGGGCATTTCTAATGCTCTCTTGGATTTAGAGATGAACAGCGACTTGAAGTCGCAACTAAGAGAACTATATATTACTAAAGCACGAGAGATGGAGACGAATAACAAGAAGGTAAATTTTATTATATACTTTTTGTTGTATTTTAATATAGCCTGCTTATATTTTCATATAGTTGTAAGTTTATTGTTTTAAGGTATCTTTATTCTTTCTACTATTTAAAAATTAACAATTACACATGATTTTATTGTTAGAATGTACATACTCCTAAAATAATTAAATTAGTTTGTATCACGTTTGAAATTTCTTATAACATACTGTCTTATATATAAAACCATTTTTTTTTATAGTCCATCATTATATATGTGCCCATGCCAAAATTAAAAGCCTTCCAAAAGATCCAGACAAGGCTAGTACGGGAACTGGAGAAAAAGTTCTCTGGTAAACATGTGATGTTTGTTGGTGAACGTAAGATCCTTCCTAAGCCAACAAGGAAGACTCGCACCAAGAACAAGCAGAAGCGTCCTAGAAGGTATGAGACATAGCAAAAACATGTTAATGTTATTTGTTTGTAAATTTGATGAATCTAACGCAATTATATTAACACTAGCCGAACGTTGACTGCTGTGTATGATGCCTTGTTGGAGGATCTGGTGTATCCTGTAGAGATCGTCGGCAAACGCACCAGAGTTAAGCTTGATGGATCTCAAGTTATCAAGGTCCATCTAGACAGGAATGAGCAGACGAATATTGAACACAAGGCATGTTAATTTGTTCTACTTTCTTAGAACGTTTAAAGAGAACATTTGTATCATAAACATATATATATATATATATATGACTTAATTTCATGTTATTTCTTAACAGGTTGATACATTTGCTTCAGTATACAAACAACTGACTGGACGGGATGTCACATTCGAGTTTCCTGAATCTTATGTATAATTTATAAAAAAAAAAAAAATAAAAGTGTGAACTTTTCAAGACCGAAATTTTTTAAGAGTTTTTAATCATGATATAAGTATGTATATTTTGAATGATGTGTTGTCCTAAAAGTTCCTGATTTAGACATGACATAATAAGATTTGTGTAATTATTTTGTGTTTTTATTACATGACATTTTAAATATATACTGATTTTAAATAAAGAAGGTAAAATGAGATGCAAAATAAAGAAAGCATATCAAAGAGTGATTGGAGATCACTCAGCTCGAACTGGTCAGGCTCAGCCTTGCCGCTTTTAATTATCTTCGCATTCGCCATGAACATTAAAGAGATTTTACCATGCCAAGGAAGCGATCATGAATCTTTTCCTTTAGTGTGAACTCGAGAAGTTTATGGAACATTCCCACATGCTTCCCAGTTAGACAATTTTTGAGTATGTTACAAAAAAGGATTCATGATAAGTTTTCAAGATATACTAGTTACGTATTTTTTATTTTTAGAAAAAGTAGCTTTGGGAACAAGCCTATTTAGTTATATAAAAAAGTTAATATATATTTGTAGTTATAAAAAACCTATTGGTTTTTATAATCTATATGTCGGGTAATCTTATTCTGACGCTGTATAGATACAATTTAATAAAACGAAAATAATAATATGTTGCATCACAAATGTTGCTTCGTTCTATGAGATAGTTTAAACAAATTACTGTTAGGACTGAGGGGCTTATTCTATAACGTTTAATGAACGCGATGCAAACATGCGATGTCGTTTAATGAAGGAAACCTACTATCAAATGCGTTGACGGCTATCGAATTTATTGACGCATTTTTAGACAGTCATCCAACATTATTCCATCATGCCATAATATAATGCGCAAACTGATAAAACTTTTTGTTATAACACGAATTCATTTTTTGTTAAAAAAAAACTATATTAACGAGGCAAATGCAAATAACAGTCGCAGTGTCGCTATGAAATTATGTGTTACAAATGTTAAATGTTATACAAATAAAAAAAAGTGATAAACGTTATTTATTGTTTTCCTCTACTTTACGCAATATATTGGGTGCGTTCAGCGAAAAAAGCGATCAGTGAGTACTCAGCGATTATTGGTTCTTACTGTTAGATCCCTAAATTTAGACCAATTACATTGACGAATTGCTCAATTATTGTGCAACTGTTGAGTTCGCTGAACGCACCCATTCATACAAATTTAGACGTTTTGAATCAACCGCGTATGACTAGTGCCGCTCTCATGCTTCTCTCTGCAGTAATATCGACTTGTGTACATGTGGTAGGTTAGAGAGATCACCGTTCCCTTCCTGTTTAAAAGTCCAAGATGGTAAGTTTGCACGAATTCTAAATTGAGAAATCCATTTGCATCGCAGAAATATATCGTATATTTTTTTGGCTCATAGGAAAAATAGACAGTGCATATTTTCATTTAATCGTTGACGTATTTATATCGAATATTGAATATGTTCTATCGTTATAAAAGATGCGCCGCATTGCTTCGATCTGCTTCCTTCATTAAAATTCTCGGCTTTTCTTAATGTATTTATTAGAGTCATTATTTCTAAAATTATTTTTTTTATATTATGTTTTTTAATATTATGCGAATCAATATCATTTAAATAAAACATGACAATGCTGCCAAATAGATGCAACTATTGCATGACATAACCTAATATTTCTTGCGATCATTGCCGTACATAACTAAGTTCTAAGATGATACATATACGAGTGAAAACTATCGTACCGATTGTGCAGATTATTTTTGATCGTGTGTGAACGGTATTGTACATTTCTATTTGATAAGATTTGGAAAAATCAAATAATTTTGTTATAAATGCTTGATTTGCGAAATATTTAGGAGACCCGGGACTTTTCGCATACACGCTGTATATGATGCAAGCACACACATATATGTGTCTCACAATTCACATAATACTTTATTACATCAAGATATCTTTTTTCAGGCTCGTGGCCCAAAGAAACATCTGAAGCGTCTTAATGCGCCTAAGGCATGGATGTTGGACAAACTGGGGGGTGTGTACGCCCCCCGGCCATCCACTGGTCCTCACAAACTCAGGGAATCACTTCCCTTAGTTATCTTTCTCCGCAATAGGTTAAAGTATGCTTTAACTAACTGTGAGGTCACTAAGATCATGATGCAGCGGTTGATCAAGGTGGATGGAAAAGTTCGCACTGATTCTAATTATCCTGCTGGTTTCATGGGTGAGTTTTTATTATCTTGCTCTATTTAATGTACGATCTATAGGAGGAAAGGAAATATGAAATAGGATGGTGATATGAAACAAAGCTGATTTCTTAAACAATTGTTGTAAGATCTGTCAACAATTGAAAATGTAACCATTAAAGTCCTTATCAGCTACCAAAGGAGTCTGGTGTCGATGCCATATTCTTTATAGTCTTAAGAGAGGTTACTTTGTTTTCTTCCTGTTAAAACCTGTTTTTACAAGAAAAAATTTCCTGCCTTAATTGGCAAGTCTAATATATTAGCTGCAGTGTGTTGATTAGCAATAAGATCAACTAAAAAATTGTAATTACATTGTGTCTAAAAACTATCTAATGGTTTATTCTTATGTATGTAGCCTTGTAGATTGATTCTTCTAGGTGCAATAATAATAGCAAATCATCAACAACAAATATTGCTATTAGTTTTTTCATGCTGTTAATCAGATAAAACTTTTTCTCCATTAAGGAATGTTATAATAGTAAAAAAAAAACTTATAGCAATTTTTTTAATTTTTGGCCATCCAATTGTATATTCTTTCTGTTTTACTTTGGAAACATTATAACTTACGGGCGGATGCAATGTGAAGAAAAACGGATTAATTGAGATTATAATTGTATTGCTTAAGATGTTGTTACTATTGAGAAGACTGGCGAATTTTTCCGATTGATTTATGACGTGAAGGGTCGTTTTACCACGCATCGCATCACCGCAGAAGAAGCCAAGGTAATTACTCGATATTATGTGCAACTCTTGATAAAAAAGCATTGTGCCTCATATAAATATAACATTGTATATTTGCAGTACAAATTGTGCAAGGTGAAGCGCGTTCAGACCGGCCCTAAGGGTATCCCCTTCTTAGTGACGCACGACGGTAGAACTATTCGTTACCCTGACCCGGTCATAAAAGTCAACGATACTATTCATCTGGATATTGCCACTAGCAAGATTTTAGATTCCATCAGATTCGATTCTGGTAATGACCAAATTATTTGTATATTGTGTATATTTATTTTTCGTTTTTTTATAGAGAGAAATAAGAAAGGAGAGCAATAACTTTTCTTTATAAATATAATATTAAAAGAATATAGTGCAAAAAAAATATAAATACATTACATATAAAGAGAAGGAAAAGAAAAAAATGTCAAACTTATCTCTCCTTTGTAGGTAATTTGTGCATGATTACCTCTGGAAGGAATTTAGGTCGTGTTGGTACTGTTGTCAGCCGTGAACGTCATCCCGGCTCCTTCGATATCTGTCACGTGAAGGATGCGCAAGGACATACATTTGCCACAAGGTTCGTAAAATTGCATGCTTGCGTAGGAATTAAAAAATTCATTAGACTTTTCGATTTGTCTTCAATGAAATGTATCGTGATTTTTCTCTAATTTATTTTATCTCGTAAAATAAATTATGTTGTTTATTAATTAATGTAAGTTTTCATAAACGACTGTTACTTTGAATTACACCTTGAGATTTACAGAGCTTTTTTTAAAACTGGGCCGTATCGAAGCTGTGATACATGTTATATGTATAAACAGTCAAAAACTGGCCAAAATCAAATTCCTTCACATTTGGTCACTGATTACCGTTTTAGCTCGGTTTTCCGTATCACCCAAGGAGGAAACAAAACTCCCTTTTTCGCAAAATATTTTTAGTATGTTATCGTTGTTTTAGTATTTATTTTTTTTATATAATACAAATTGTTTGTTCAGGTTGAATAACGTCTTCATCATTGGCAAAGGCACAAAGGCTTACGTAAGTTTGCCAAGGGACAAGGGTGTGAAGCTATCGATTGCCGAAGAGCGTGACAGAAGACTGGCAGCGAAAGGAGTGAATTAATATAGGGAGATATAAATATAATTTAGACGTAATGTGATTAACAAATTTACAAGAAAACATTCAATAAACCGAAGCTGCTCCACGTAATTTTGATCAGAACTATTTTTGGCTATTATTTACTCATTCATCCACCAATTTTCACAGTTTGTTATAAATTTAGCTGTAATATTATCGTTTGCGAAGAAAATTTATTTTTTTTTAACAAGTTAACACAGACGATAAAATAATTTTATTTGTGACTATTATTAGATGTATTCAATCCTAGGCATAGATCTAACTAAAAGATAAAGATTTGACATTGAATCTATAAGCTAAAGAAGCTTAAATTTTATGCGTTGTGCAAAAGCTTGATAGTACGGTTTAAAAATTAAGGTAATCTATGCCAATTCTTGTGATTTGCTGACCTAGTTGAGAAACTTGAAAATAAAAAAATCTGTCTGAATTATATCATTGAAAAGTGAGAATCCGAGTAGATCAGGCTTCAAGACAATTTATAGGAGATGTGTACTACGATGATTGTCGGAACAAAGAGACGCATATATTACAATATACATTGTACATAATTGTTCGAAGTATCTCGTAAAATAGTGCCGTACGATGAACAAGCATAGTAGACAATAAGTAAATTTGGAAATCGTGGACGAAATTGAAAAAAAAGAAGAAAATGCAGACTTCTAGACTTTCACTTTTCTGGCAGCCAAACTTCCGTGTTCAGTTCAAGCGCGTTTTGCAGAAGGCTATTGCATTGTTCGTCCTTCAACTTCTCATTTCTCTGTTGCACTTCTTTTGCGGCTTTTAAGTACCTGCCAGGAAAAAGAAAAGACATATCATATGTGACGTACAAGTGACCAAATAATAAGTTCTGAAGAAAAAAATCAAAGCGATTACTTTCGTATACAGAAGACCATATTCTTAATTTCATTCTCGATTGTTCTGGGCGACGGTCTCGCGTATTCCGTACTTTTGACATGCTTTGCTCGGGTAAACGGACAGACACGAATCCATCCACCTTCTCTCACGCAAGGGGTTCTCCAGTCTCTGCCGTTATCCCAAATTGGTGGCGACGCGCGATCCTCGATCGTACTTCCCTTAATTCCACGGCGTATGCACTTGTCCATCAACAGCGGATTGTAACGAGACCAGGCAGTTGGGCAAACTTCCGGCGTTGATTGTCTCAGCTGAGACAAAAAAAGATCATATAGTTATAACGAATGTCTCAATTTTTCTTAATAAACAGTACACGTTCACAGTAGGTGAAGCTTTCTTCAACGTCAACATTCAAATAAATTTTTTTATCATTTAATATTTAATGGGGGGGAGGAAGGGAAGATTAATCTTTAATATCTTTAAAAAATTTCATGATTTTTTTAAAGAAGTTAAGACTCTAAAAAAGAATCGTATTTTCAGGAACTATTTATAAACTTATTTCTCCAACAAAATTATACGTTTTTATATATTTATTTCATTATTTAAATAACAAATGTTAACTTGAAACAAAGTTGAGATGTGGATGTATATATACAAATATTACAGATACGAAAAATATTATTTAAAGAATTTTTTTCTTATTAATTTACTTGTGCTTTATTTGTGCATCAGTTTATTTAATATATATAAAGGTGCGCAGATAGTAGAAAGAAATATATAAGTATCTAAATGTGTATATATATACATGTATTTATATTACTATAAATTATTACTATAAATATTACTTAAATTATGAACACTCAACTCTTGAATGAATTAGTTTTTTTCTAATTGCACCAGCAATTAGATAATTTTCCAATGTATAGGTGATTTCAATGTTTCAATGAATTCTAAACTCATTCGTGGTTTTAAAGTTTTCATTCATTTTTAAAGTTTCAATTCATTTTCATGAATTCTGAATTTATTTTGCTTTTCTTAAACACTTTTTAAGATATATTCAACATTTGAAGAAATATGTCTGGTTGACTTTCATTGCAACGTGAAATGCTCTACTTTTCACGCGATCAACTGATAATGTAAAACTACAAAACGAAAACATTTCTCCGCAATTACCGTGGCTCGGGTCTCCGGGGAGAGATTTAAAAAAGCGTCGGCTTCCCGTCCGAGTCTCGACTTCTTTTTCGTAGAACGACCGAATTTGGAAGACACTTCGTCCTCGTCCTCAATGCGATGATCGGAGGACCACATTGTGAACAGGGATAGTCCGGTGTTACACACTGGAAGACCTAATAGATCAAACAGATCGTGCAGTAGGGGTTTCTTCACTTCCGAATCGACTTCACAGTCGTTACTTAAAGCCGGACTCAAATTCACCTGCAGAACATCCGACACACGTTGTTTGTAATATTACGCGCGCGAGAAAGAGATATTTATTATTTCATCTAATTGCATGTATTTCAAATCTTGCGCGTATGTGTATATACCGACTTCTAAGAGCCACGGCTTCAGATTCTCGTCGATCAGCACGTCGAAACCGAAGAATTCGAAACAATTCGAGGACCTGGGGATGCTTGCCACTTGACTGAGAATCGTGAGAGTCACCAGACACGAGATTCTCTGCCATAGAATCCAATCGAAATATCCTGACTGCTCGAAGTATCTTCTTAGTTGACGAAACGTCCATTTGCAGCCTACATATGGGGCGAAGAATTTTTACTAAATTAAGGCTTCTGGTTTTACTCGCCGCGGCTATCTTGATTCACGACGTCAGAAGAGCGAGAAAAAACATACGCGCTCAAAATTCTTGCAAAACACGCAGAAATAAAAAGATGTATTCATAAAATAACACTCGCAGTCGATCGAGCAGATGTGTTGAATAGTCCGAAGACTTTCCTTCTGTTTTGATAATGCAATGAATAACGGTAAAATTGGCGTGGCAAAATCATGAGGAAAGATAGGTTGCGTGTCACGTTAATTTCACGGTAATTTATCGATTGTCGAAGCAAAGGGGAAACGTTCGGAGAGATTTGGCAGTTGTGTCCAATCGATTGCAAGTGTCGTTTTGTGCACTGGAAAAATTGGCCTTGCAGTCACAGCGAAAATTATCTAAATACAAGGAACTAGCTGAGATGACTAAGTGATTAGCAAACATTGCGATACCGCATATATATGTCTTGAATCAATATACATGACAGATACAAGATTTCAAGTAGAAATATTCGTGAAATTTAATAAGAAAGAAACGAATCCTCACCCACCCTTCCAAATTTGCCGGCAGATATTGCTGGAATGTCGCTGCTGTAAGTTCTACGAATTTTTGTAAATTCTATCACAACGATAAATTTTTACTATGACATTCTGAATTCTACCTGCGACGAGCAGAACATTTTTTCGTGCGACTATACGTTTTTATTTCAACGAAATATTCTGCGAGAATTTTTATCGTGAATCTTCTCGCCTCTGACGTTATATCAGTCAGGAGTTTCGCGGCGAGAGGACCAGTTATAAAATGTGTCTAAAAGTCGTTCTACATTAGTTGCAAGTTGACTGCAAATTATGTTGCGACAACCAATTAGAAGCGTCAATAGCACCATTGATGCTTCTGATTGGCTGTCGCGACAGGAATTGAGTCTGCTTGCGATCGGCTTGCAACTAATGTAGAACGTCTTTGAGACGACTGGTAGCGTCGTATGAAATACCGGCACCGATGCGTTCCTTCTTCTCCGAGTATCCTGGCCCCAGTTTGTTCAGAGAGAAATTCGTGAGGTGTCGGAAAGGGTCGTCCAGACGTTCTAGGGAGAACTTCTCGGTGGCGAAACGAGCCAAGCCTTCCTTGTACAGATAGATCGTCAACGGCCGGTACGACGGCACGCACACGTATAAGCGAAGATCGAATTTGTAGCCGCCGATCAGCAAAGGATTTTCAATGTATCTCTGCACAACCGCGGCATTGTCATATGACAGGTCGCTTAATTTCTAGAAAGATACATTTGGATGATTTTAGGCGCGCGCGAGCTCAGTTTGTGATATATATTTTCTTTAAATATTGCGATATGTCAATGTTCTTCAAGTCTTTTTATTATATGTATTATACAGGATGTCCTGAATTATAAAGTACAAATATTTGGTGGTCATGCAGAAAATTGAATTTCAAACAAAATGTCCCCTGTAAATATCCCAGATAGCACAGAAAATTCAAAAGAATTTTTCAAAATTTTTCAGATTTTTTTTCAAAAGAATTCAGTCGTATGTCATCAATTCTGAGTTTATTTTTAGATGCCAAAAGAATTTTTTTTCACTGGACTGAACTCTAAAGAATTCTTTTTGCATCTAAAAATGAACTCAGAATTAGTGACTGAATCTTTTTTCAAATATTTTTGAATTCTCTGTGTTATCTGGGATTAATCTGAAGATGTTTCGTTAAAAAGTTATTGTCAACAAGCGTTAAAAAGTCACGTTTTCTGACATATATTCTCTCCAATCACTCAAAAACAAGGTTCGAAAAAATTCAGACATTTTTAAAGGACAAAGTTATTTGACTCGCGTCATTAATTGCATCCTCTGAGAAAACACTTACACGAAACAAGAAGATCCCTCTCCCTTGGCTCTGACCGACCGGCTTACAGATCCAAACCTTATCATCCTTTTCGTAACGACTGCATTCTTCGGCCAGTTTTGTGTATTCAGAGGGCAAGTTGTATCCCGCGGGGCTAACGCGACGGATTAGTATCGCATTATCAGTGGGCGAGCCTAATCAATTACAATAATCGATTGCGATCAATTAGAATCTGTCGTGCACAGTACCTGAAGTCGTAAATTGAACCGTGGACCTTCTTCATGCACTTCAAGTGGCGTATCAGTTTGTCCTTCCGGCAGATGGAATTTCCCTTTGGTATCCGATTGACAAACTGTGAGCGAAAAATAATCCGACATACTACTCACGTTGATTGGTTTTGCAGTTCAAATTAATGAACAATCCAAGTATAAAAGTACCGCCGAGCATGCGAGTCTAAATTAAATTTCATCACCTGATTAAAACGTACGCGTGCAAAGTTCGATAATTTTGTAGGGATTTTTGCAAAAGGTTCAAGTTCAATTACTGTCACATTTGGCCATAACTTTACTTGAAAAAACGAAAAAATGAAGTTGCATTGGACTATTTTCTGCTGATGTAACTATTAACATAACACGTGTTATATTGCATTTACATTGTTAAGTGGGAAATTATAATTATTGATGTTATGTTACTGATAGTGTTTATTAGAAAACATATCAAATAATTTTAATACGTTTTAGTACGTAGTTACGTTTAAAGTTTTCTTTTAATTTAATTTAATTTATTGAAATTAAAATTATTTAAATTTATAATTTATTTAAATTTTTATTTTATTTTTAAATTTAACTTTGTACTTTTTTTTTAAATTTAACTTATTTAAATTTTTCAATTTTATTTAAATATATTTGAGTGTAATTTATTTAAATTTAATTTTTTTACTTAAATTTAATTTAATTTATTTTAAATCGTTGCAATTACGTTTAGCGTTAAATATGCGTGTAGAATTTAATTTTAAATTAATATAATTTTAAAAGTTAATTTAAACAAGTTTAATTAATATTTAGTTTTAAACGTACATATATATACATATATATATATATATATATATATATATATATATATACATATACATACACATACAGACGTCGCATTCTCATGAGCACTAAAGACTCATGAGGACTGAACAGGTGTTATCAGTCAGGATTCTAGGGGAAGGAAGGGGAGGGAAGGAAAGGGAGAATCGGAATCAGCGAAAGAATCGCGACGAATCGCGAAGACGATCTCATAGAAATTTAAAGGAGCTCTTTTTTTCCCCGGGCGTTTGTCTGTTTACATTTCAAGCGGATAACTCGAGATTTTCAGACGCGAGCAAATTGCGTTATTACCTGCCAGGGGAGTAATGGCCTGTAATGCGACGTGGGGAAACCGCCGGACCGCCACCATAAATTCCATCGATCTTTGAATACATTATTTTCGCCGGCATACTCCCGCCATCCGCGTTCCGTGCAAACCTGTAGAGAACAATCGCGATAAGCGAAAGGGCGGCTGATATTGCCCAGGCTATTCCGAGGGCCAAAGTACTATTTATATAACCCGTCTCAAATGTCGATACGCGTGAGTGCTCGAGTATTTTTCTCGTTGCCAGACGGCACAACGAAGGCAATCTCTTTTCCCTTTATCTTCTCCTTTCCCTCTTCCCCTTTCCGTCCCTCCTCATCCCCTTCCCTCGCGAAACGATGAACCTTTTTAACGCACCGACTGCCAAATACGAGTTATTTGTGCAGCAGGCTCTGCTCAAAATTGCGCCGAGCGAGCCGTTCAGTCAGATGCTAGTTGTTTCTTTTCTCTTTTGTTTCTTATAAGAGATGCGAGAGAGAGAGAAAGAGAGATTTCGGAAGTCTTGTGAAACAATCGATACTCGATCGCTTTGCACCATAGCTTTTCATCGAGACCCGTGAAATTAAGCGAAATTAAGTCGCGACTTTTTTCCGCGACAGACGTACACAGGTATCGGATGAAAATAGTCGTTTTATCGATACGTTCGATTCCCGGATATAAATATTCGCTCACACAAGCGAACTCCGGGGGATTTCCGTGTATTTTATGCTTCCGCAAAAATATGCGCTCGTGTCGGATAAACACCGAAATACCGCAATCGATATCGATTTAATGCCGCGTCCTCGCCGAGTCGTTACATCCGCGCGGATTCTCTCTCTGTTTAGCCGACTGCCCCGAGAAGGCCGGAACTGTTTCTGGCTTCGGGGATGCGCGCGTTAATTGCACATTGCACTACGCATTCCGAAGTTCCGGAACTTTCCCGCGCGAAATGGCGCGCTGCCACGAAAATAGCGACCGCCCTTGATTTATTGTCGTATTATTAGAACATTAGGGATGACTGCGCGCGCGCGCGCGCGCTATATCAGAAGCGAGTCAAGGCCTTTGATTACAATTAAATCGGCCCGCACGTCAGAGACACGCCGCTCTGATGATGCGAGCACGAATAAATGAGAAAGGCCGAGCACCGCGGCTAATTCGGGAATGATCGTATGTAACCGCGCACGCTAATACGGCATCGATAAAGTTATCCGTTGTGACGTCAAATTCACCATTCAATCGCTCCTCACAACCCGCCACGCGTCGCCACGAAACTCGTGCGAGGACCTCGGGACGTTCGGTCGAAAATCAATTAACGATAGCTCACATTTACAGTGTTAATCAGTAAGTGACACGCGTTAACTGGTAATGAATAACAGTGTTGTTAATCGGCGAATATATTTCCAGAATGTATTTGCTGATCCCTTATAGAAATTTAATACTGATAAGTGATAATTTGACCAGCGATAATTACTGTCGTTCAATAATTTTATTACTCGTCCGAGTAATAAAATTACTATTTATTACTGGCCAATTTATCACAGCCAGTGATACTTTTCTATAAGGGATCTATAATGAGATCGAGAGTGATCGTGTGTTGACGATTGGCCGTACTTAAAAAAAGTTTGATAGATGATTCAACCCTTTGAAAAGCACCTTCAAGAATCGCATTCTTATAAAATAGTCACATGTCTAGAATGGCAAGATCATTCTTTTTGAAATAAATTTTTTCTATTTTCCTATTTTACTTCTTATTATTTTTTTATATATTTTCTATTATATTTATATTTCCTATGGTTAAAACTAGTAGAGTATAAGAGTTTATTAAAAGAGGTAGAGTAGAAACTTCAAAATCAGATTACTAGAAAATCTTGAGTATTGGAGAAAATCTGTTTGCGTCTTTTAATTTGGCGTGAAAGATATTATGTGGGTCACATAATTTTGTTCATGTGACGAAAAAGCTGTCTTTTTCTGTCTTAATCAACAAACCAGAGAAAAACGTAATACACGTTGGTCATGGCAAACTATTTAATTTTCCGATTAGCTAAACGATAATTACCAATTTCGGATGTTTCTTTTTCTTCTCTTAATAATTGAATACATTGTCTTCTGTCGTAATTTAATTATCGTCCCGGGGGATCGGGAGTTCGGAGGTTTCCGGAATCCTTATGCAGATTTCCTCGTGACACGCGACGGATTCCGAAATTCCATAGCGTTCCTTAAGATATGTCATTATTTGGTTTCGATTAATCGCGCGTTGTGTACGGCGGTCGAGCCCGCCTATCGGGGTCCCCGGGCTTATTTTAGACACGTTTATGCAAACGCTCAATGACTCGCGAATTATATACGATCGTCACTGGCAAGCTTCCATTTTTTTCAGCCTTTCTTTCACGGATAACCCAATTTTTTTCTCCGTTCCATTCCGTCCGGCTGCAGTTAACGATCAGAGAGGGAAGGTAAACGAGCAATTGGCCTAATAAATGATGTCTGTCACGAGCGAGGCAATTCCGCAAGCGTTGCGTTCCCATGTGACGCTTGACATTCAAGCGTTGCAGACTCAAAACGCGTAAAACGCGGAGGAATGGAGGAGAAAAAGGGGGAAGAGCAGCGAATAGATTCCGCGATGCTCGCGACGAATCCTCGCGAATCGCTGAGCCGCCCTTACGAAGAGATGCGCGAAGTAAGCCGGGGATAATTACGCTCGATTACGTAGAAGCCGCTGCGCGGAAAATTGTTGCGAATCCGAAACGCGGAGTTCGCGCTGTGGTCGATTCATCACGCGAAGCGAGCTGAGAATTTCGCAGCGTGTTATTGCTGCAGGCCAATTTGCAATACATTACTCAAAGTAACTTGCGAAATAACTCGTGAAGCTTGTGAACTTGAAATTTATGCGAGACTTTTCATTTTTCGTTTAAAATTAATTCTGTTCTTTCATCCAGCAAACATTATGACGTCGAATGACGTTTTAATGACGCATTAATGATGTTTCTAATTATCCTGCTACTTGGGTGGGTGTACAATTACAGATGTAGTTATTAAACAGTACACTGAGAGAAAAGAACGATTGATCCAACTGAAATCATAGTTATTTTGGCCAAATTTTTTAGTTGCTCTAACACGAAAATGATAGTAGTGATATGTACATAAGGCTATTATCACTAACATTATAGTAGAATTTAATAAAAAAAGAATTGTTCTCTCGGCTGAAATTCATAACAGTTATTTCTCTATATGACTATAGTTACAAATACCAAACATTTTTTTCCCAGTGTTCTCGGGCTTGGCGATGATTCCTCGCTAAAGGGAAAAAATCGGAAATTGTTCTGTTTTGCGCTCAACGAGCCTCCGTTAATGGGACTTCACTGCTAATTATTTTTGTACATTTATGGGTGCAACGGCGACTACGAAAGCGCCATTAAGAAGCGCGAAAAATCGCGATGAATGGTAGCCGAGGGGCCTCGTGACTCACAAAAAGTTCTCTGCGAACCCCTCCTTCTTTCTTCGTCCTTCTTCCTTCGCCTCTTCTCTCTCTCTCTCTCTCTTTTTTTCGTTGCCGTTGCATGTCGCACTTACTTAATCGTCGCGTCTAAAAGCGGCGAATGCACGCAGAGGCGCGTTGCATTCGTCTGCCGCTGCGGGTATGCACGTATGTATGTATCGTACCTTGAAAAGTATTTGGTTCAAGGCCGCGTCTAAGTTTGTAACACTGTGCCGCGCGAACAAATTCCAAGGGACATAAAACTCCCCGTGCCGAAAAGTCGGTGCGGGGAAAGGGTGGCAGGAGGGGGCGGACGGGGGGAGACAGATCTGCCCCACACGTCTACGTGGGGGTCGAGTGTGTGTACACGTGAGCGTTTCCCTTTCTCGGAGCCGACGACCCTTCGCGTCGAATCGAATCGATCTCGGCGAATCGTTCGCGATGCACATCGCGAGTGCGCAGCTCTTTCGGCGCTCGTGCGAAAATCAACGTGCGACGTGAGGCAGATATTTCAGGCTGCTGCAAAAGGATTCGTCGTGTCGATAAATGTCTAATGAGGACTTCCTATTTACCTTTTAACACTCGAGCTTCCCGCGAGAAATTTATGGGGGAGTGACGAACTTGTCTTTCGCGACGACTTAATATCTTTTTATGTCATAAGACTCACGGAAATTCTATATTCTTCGATTAAAACGCGTTGGTTTGCTCATTAAGGTTAAACTTCACGTTGATGGAGCTTTTTTTCCGTGTATCTTGTCAAGAGACGAGTAAACACGATCTCACATAATTGTGTATGATAACCAAAGAAAAGACTCTCAAGATGTACAGTCAATAAGTGATCTCAATTTCTTAAAGAAAAATAAGGACAGCGCCGATCTTAGTGCGAGCATATATTACAATAGACTGTAAATATATTTAGAGATCTTCTGGTTCTCTTATTTGTCAGTGAGTGTTTAAATTTTCACGAAGGAGAGCGACGAGATCCGCAAGTTCTATTCGTCGCGCTCCATCGCGAACTTCACCGAGCGTTTTTCGAATTGCTGTCGCGATTTCGACAATCTCGCAAAACGAACGCACAATTTTCTTACAGACTACAAGTACCTGTACAAGCAGAAGCGGTCCGGTGCTGTTCTCGTTTAACCTGAACACAAAAGGGCCTTCCACGCACTTCACTGCCATGCCGAAGCATCGTACTTTCTCGATGCACGATTAATCGCGAGCCCGCCTTTGGATTACGTCGATGTCACATTAAGATGAATATTGATTGTCACTTCAGATGAATATCAGTGGCATGCGCTGAGGAAAAATAGAAAACTTCGATCAAGCGTATTTTTCTATCTTGTCGGGTCGAGACGAGTTGGTTACGCGACTTGCTTGTTTGCATCGCCAAACCATGCCAATGCTGAATTCTTGCTCCTCTTATTGGAAAATAAAGATAATATAGTGTTATATTTCTTTGTTGCAAAACGCGAACAGACTAATATACATATATATATATATACTATGCGATAGAGAGAAAAAAATATTTGGCTGTATTAACATGAACTTTGATAATAAACAAGCCAAAGTTTTGACAGTAGACAATGAAATTGGTTCTCTTAAAAAATTGGTCTTGGTTCTCTTAGAATTTTTTGTGTTATAAGAACGGAAATTCTGTATTCTTCAACCAAAATGTTAGTTTGTTTCATTAAACTTCATGTTAATAGAACTTTTTTCTCCATATATCTTGTCAAGAGTTGAATAACACAATTTCATGTAATTATGTGTGATAACAAATAGCGCGAGATAAATAAATATGAGAATTTCGTCGACGCGGAGATTCAAATATTTCGAGCTAGCACAAAATATACAATTGAGCTAGCAACGACGATATTGAATTTCACTTTCATCTTTCTTGTGAATCAAGCGTCATGTGTTAAAAGTAACAAAACGAAGACGGTGGTTAGAGGGCGAGGTTGTTCGAAGAATCATGCCTGGCGTAATTCATCGACTAATTTGGCGAAGTTGCGTGATACGACATGTTTATCAACACGTCGATGACGCCTGCGTGTCAATGGATGTCATGCTGTATATTCGACAGTGCAATGTCAAGGATCGAATTTGAAACGTGAGGCGTGTACAAATCGTGGCCACGCGCGTCGCGCTCTTCGCTCCTGGACACGTAGTGTGAGAGAGAACACACGAGAAAGCTCTCTGATGCACATCTTCGCAAAATCAGTCTCACCTTTACAGGCGACACGCATTTGTCGATGATCCCGACCATCATACGGGCGCCTTTTTGTTGCAAAACGTTGCACGATCCACCTCGACTTCTCTCGTGTTCTCTGGAATACCTCGCAGGCCGTATTACCTGAACATATCCGACCTGATAATTAGACAATTGAAAGTGCCCAATCGTGCAACACTGTTTCTGTCCATTGAGCGTCCCAGTTACCTGCAAACGAACAATTTACATCTAGTCATTCGCGAATTGGAGCTTAAGGGATACTTAAGGGATACAAAATAATTCTCAACGTCACAGGCATCATTTTCAACCCTCCGTGCGATTCATTTTAAGGAGACTCGATGATTTCACATTGAAAAAAAATACCTCTAAATTTATTCGTGAGATAGGAAGCTTATTCACAGAGAAATAAACTTTATTTCACAGAAAAAATAAACTTTATTTAATGGAAATAAACATTTTACGGAAATAACCTCGATTTTACAGAAATAACCTAGATTTTACCGAAATAAACTTTATTTCGTGTAAAAATAAACTTTGTATCCCGCGAACAAATTTTCAAGTATTTTTTCTTGTGTGCTATGCTTTGCAAAAGAAGAGAGAAAGATTACAAACATTGAAGGCTAACGACGTTTTAAGCGGGAAACGGAGCATTTAAACAATAAGGAAAAACTTTGCCCCGATTTTTTTTACTCATACATAGGGAGGAAAGTGTCCAAAGACGATCAACGAATCGCATCGCATCAGCGGAAAATAGTGAATTACACACGGCGGGTTATATAATTCTTTGGTTGTGCTCGCATGAAAGACGATGAAGTGACTCTTCACTGTGCGAGACCATTCAAAATCATGCCGTTAGGAATTATAATCTCGTCTGTGGGAAACTAATTCGATTCTTTCAAACGACTCACCTTACGATCGTGCTCGACAGGGATGATATCGCCGACGATTGCGCCACTTCGACTCCAGCCGCATCGAGAGTCACCCGTACTTTCGATACATCGATACTCACTTCCTCCCTCTCCCTCTCTCTCTCTCTCTCTCTCTTCTCTCTCTCTTTCTCTCTCTCAGCTGTCTCTCCCTTAACTTTTACTCTTCTCGTCTGTGAAGTTTTGCCGCGCTGATAGCGGGTCTGGACATGGCGGGATCTCGATTCTCACTGGTGCGCGGCCACGTTCCGGTCTACGCAATCGCTCTGACTCGTTCGCAGGTGCGCAGGTTACCTGCCTGTGTGTTTGCGCGGGCCGGGTTGCTTGCAGCTTTTATGCGCTTCCCGCGCGACCGTCGCGGCGACCCGGCAAGGACGTCGGAAGAGTGCCGGATAGGCGATCAGACGCGGCCTATTGGAAAAGGGTCCGAGGGAGTTTAGATAATACGAATTTATGGAAGGTTATTAGAAGCACGCGACGCGCGCTGCTCGTCCTTCCCCGTCAGCTATGGCCTGTCTCTATTGTGGCAACCACAATGAAACTCTCGGGTCCTCGGCAAACGTTTAATGTACTTACTACGTAAGTATTGCGATATCGTGTAATGACATAACACAATAATATTATGAAATGGAGCCCGATACACCGAGGAGGGAGGAATCAAAGTTTCCCTCGTATGACATTTTTTTTTCTAATTACACCGTGTTTCCTGAAGGTGCAGGAGTGTACTGTCAGTGGAGCTTAACTTGCTAAGAAACATCAATCAATGTCTTAATAGTGGACTCTTCAGTTCCTGAAATACGAATCTAACTTAGGATAAAGAATTAAGGCGAAATGTCAATTTATTCTGTGTCTGCCAAAAATACTGCAGTAAAAGCATCAGTGCTTCAGAGATATGATAGAATGAATGAAAGGCAATATCAAAGTTAGATAAAAGGATGGAAACAATGTTGGGGGGGGGG